AAATGGTACAGGTATAGAGTAGCTCTTTGGAGCACATACGGTTTTGATAGTTTTTTAGAACTCGTTTTGAATTTCTATAATCTGTGCCAATACACTGCAAATATTTCCTTTGTAATTGCTGAAGCAGAGGTGGAAAAATTACTGGAAGCTGTTGTTTATTAAGTTCGCATTGCAGTACCACTGTCTGGGGTTAGAGTCTCATGTGAAATACTTGATGTACTGCAGGGTTAAAACTGTGAAAGCTTAGCAGTATTTACAGTTACAGTTTGCTAGTACCTATGAATGTGTGACAAGAAACCACTGCTTGTGGGCAAAAAGGGAACATGAGGCAACCTGTGCTGGACAACTGATATGAAGTCTGGTCATTTGTACATACGGGGAGTACAAAACAGTGCAAGTATACAAAGGACATTATTTGTTGGCATAAAATGCAACTTCCAGCACTGTTTTTTGTGTATTTTTGTTTTTAAAATCAATTTTGCTGATCTTACTTTTCCCTCTCCCATACTTGAGTTGAAATCAGTTAAAATTACAGTATTATTTTTGCAGTTAACAGTTCAAGAAATTATTGTTGCTGGTGTTAGTTCGTTTGCTGATTCAGTGGATGCTTCTTATTAACCATTTTGTTACTTAGATTAGGAGAGGAAGTGGTTGGTGCATTACTGTACAGGAAAGGTGTGAAGGTCCCTGAAGCTCACTAAGATCGCTGTAGACACATCTCAAAATACTGAGTGATTGCATGATTAAAATGAGAGATTACTTGCAGTGCAGATGCATCCCAAGTAATGAGGAGGGGGCAAAACAGAATTCTGTACAAAAACTCTGCCTCTACCAAAACATAAAACTAATGTCTGGTTCTTGACTATGTGGCACTGCTCAGGAAAAGGTCCTTGGATTTGTTTTGGGTGTTTTCCTACAAACATTTTCTCAGTGCTAGCTTAAAATAAAATAAAGTAGAAATTACCTTAGAAAAGGATTGAAGACAAAAGAGGAGGCTTGAATATGGTGCATTATACAATCCCCATCTTGAACATTGTGTGCCAATTTGTTTCAAGATTTAGCAGAAGAGAAAAAGGTGTACAGAGGAAAAGGGCCTTGGAATGACTTCTGGAAGAAGAGAGGGTAAGTGGATAGAGATTGATTGGTTTGGAGAAGGGATGTGCTTACAGGATGAAGGAATTTAAAAAAAAAAAAAAAACCTTGTAGAACTTACTGCCAGAACTTCTTTTGAAAGACAAAACTGGAGTGGCTTCAAAAGTAAATTGGACAGTTTCATGGGAGGTGAGACTTTGAATAAATGGCTTTGGGTGCACCCTATGATTGTGGACATAAAAATTTTAGGAATCTGTAAATTTGCAGTGGCTGGAATTGAGGAAAATAGTTGGCATTGTTCACACCTCCCATCTTTCTATGCTCATTCCTCAGGCATCTGAAATAGCACTGTGTCAGGCTATGTGAACTAAATCAAACTTCTCAAGAATTTGTGAGACAGTAACAGTAATGCATTTTGATTGTTACCCCCTTCATATTTTGGGGAGATGGCTTTTATCTGTGTTATTGTTGTCTTCTGCCAGTGGGATGGGGTGACACCGTAGCTGTTTTCCCCTTTTTCAGCTCCTATATTTTGTGTATTTCTTCCTTTTGGCTAAGATCAGTTTTTTATCTGTTACCCGTAGCCTCACCCGCCCACCTTTTTCTTCTAAGAGTGATGCATGAAAAAGGTGACTGTTATCAGGTTTTGATCAACAGCCACAAAACCCAAGTACTGCTAATTTAATTTTGCATCTGTATGCTGAAGCTTTAAGCACCAGTACTATGTCTCCACCTTTAAGATGATCACATTGTGTTGATTATTTTTGTAACTATGAGCTGCTTATTTTTTAAACAAACACTGTTCTGCATTAGTTGATGATATCCAGGATAAATTGCTTTCTTTCAAGTTTTTTTTTTTTTTAAGGGGAGGGTCATGGTGCTTTGTTTGTCTTTGATTTACTATCTTCTACGAAAACATTAAAATGGAGAACTTCTTTTTATTTTGTTATGAAATACACATTATAAAATTATAAAATATAGTTCTAATTAACTTGAAAATAAGTAACCCCAATGCAAAATTATCACCTGTGGAAATATATGGAAATACATTTACTTCTCTGTGGTATGTTTTTTATTTTCATCCACGTTTGCTGCAACACATGCCCAAGACTGCCTGGTGATGTAACCCGTCCCTGTTTATATTTATCATGAAGCTCTGCTTTACATCCCTGGGTTGTTTCTTCACTTTCAAGGACTGGATGCCAAAGAAACAGCCCCCTACACTTCAAGGTGTAGATCATCATGAACATACAATGCTAGTAACAAATACTGATGAATTTGTTTTAACTCTGGGGATGCCATTCTCTAACTCGTAAGAGCTGGCTAAATCTCCCTGCGCAGAAGTGCTGTTTCTAAAGCAGACAGGCTTTTGGTTTCGGTCTGATTGTCCTAAAAGTGTGTTTACAAGATGAGATGGAGGAGACTTCTTCCACTGCCTTGCAGCTGTCCCTTGTTTGTGGTTGGAAACTAACTATTGACAAGTGTGGACAAAATTTATATAAAAAAGCTAAAATGTCTCTTGCCAATTCAATAAGCATGAGAAGTGTGGTGTTTACATTTTGGTCCATCTTGCCAAACGTTTTGCCTCTCAGGAAGCATATAACCATTGCCTGTTAAAACTCAAAAGTAATTTTCTGCTATTTGAGTCTGTCTTTAGCTGGGTGAGTTGTGCGCAAAGATCTACTCAAAGTTCTTATGCAAGTTTACTAACTTGGCTTTTTTTTGGTGGTGGTGGTTTGCCTTTTTTTGGCTTAGTCTAGTCTATTGTGCTCTCTGGGTTCTCCACTTTTTTCATGACGGCTAGGACAGAAGCAAGAAGATCTTATATCAAAGTTTAGAAATTAGATGATATTTCAGTTGTATTAATTTAATGCTCATATGGAAAAACAAACCGTTGTGGATAGTGATGCGATTTCATCTCAGTTTCCTAAAGAAACGTGGGGCAGCAGTGTTGCTCCTGCAAATTCCCTTTGAAGGGAATCCTTTTAAAGGGGTGTAATCCATACAGTGTAACTTATAAGGGTAAGGTATGTAAAGCATCCCTCATCAATTTTACATTTGGTCTGTGTTAATTTTTTTTTTTTTATTCTGCTGAAATTAAAAAAAGGGAATTTGATAAGATGTGAAAATTCAGGAATAAACATGAATCTTCTGTGACAATATAAAATATTTTTTTTCTATTTCCTTTTGTTCACATCTATTCTCTCTAAGGATGATTGCAAGCTGAATTCAGCTTCTTACTCCTTTCACTTTAAACAATTGAAAAATCTTAATTGTCTATCCTTACAAAAAGTGTTGTGGTAAGAGAATTAAATTACTCATATGACAAAAAAGACTTCAAAAAGTAAAATAAAACCTTATTTCATAGCTCCTTTGGCAGGCAACTTGCCTAATTAATTAGAACAGTTACAATCAGGTGTATTTATTTAGAAACTTTTAAATTAAAACTTATAGTTGAAAGCATTTTCTGTAATACAGATAGAAAAATGTACAGTGTTCTACAGTTTAATTTCAGTAGTCTTAAGATTATATATCCCACTTCATACGGGTAAAATTAAGCAACTTTTGAATATATATAGTCAAAATGTGGAGACTCAAATTATTTAGGTGAGTCTTTTAACATCTTCACTGGTCCAACAAGTGGTTCAACTATCTTGTAGAAACAAAAAAAATAAAAAGAGGTAATTATAGTATCACATATTAGAATGTTCCAGATCTATCTTCAGAAAGTTAATGAAGAATGAAGCAAGATCCACCAGTGACATGTAAATAGGTGGTTAATTAAATGTGTTTTAACTCTGCTTTTTAAAAGATATTTTATGCATGATGTTCTGGAATATCTATGAGATAAGGACTGAAGGTATCCAGATCTTAACCTAGACTTAGGCTTCTGTTTTCAGCAAAAGACTTTCAAACCTCCTGTATCTTGGCCTGTGATGCATTTTTCCAACATTTTTAATTCCATTCCTCATGCACACTCGATTACTTTGATCTGACAAACTTTATGGATAGTTTACATTAAAAGTTTAACATACAGATGGATAATAGATCCAAGATGTTCTCTTACTTTCTCTTATGAATGCTAATTTTTTGATATTATGTCTCTAATGTGGATTATAGAAAAACCTGTCCCTTCTGTGTTACGAAGAATGGCCTGTTTACTTGCATTCCTTCAAATTCTGTCTAAGTTACTGGGAAAAGGACCAGAAAGACATAATGCTCTATCCTCTATTTGCCAGTTTTAATAGCAAAATTGTTTAGACTTGAGAAATATCTCATTGTCTATGAATCCATTAAAATATCCATCACTGCATGGGTTTTGATTCCTTCCCAAAGCAATATAGTCTTTATTTTTGTCTTCCTTTAAAGGCTACCATGCGTTATATGGTCTTGTCAATCAAGATCTTTATCTGACTTGCTGCAGGTGTCATTTTCTTCAATTCATTATTTTTTGTGGTTTTTGAAACAAAAGACATCTGCTTTCTTTTTGTGATCTTGATGCTGTTGGACCACTTAAAAATGTTGGAAAATGAATAAGTAGAGCATTAGTTTATTGTGTGATTATTTTTATATTTTTTTTAAAAAAAGTAGAAACCTACTGAAGCGTGTTGGTATTAGGAACATTTAGGAAACTTTTCCCTCCTTTCTAAAAGGAAATTTATTTCTTGGTCTGCTTTGCTTCTTTTCTCACAAACATACAATTCATTTGCCTGGATCCCTTTACCACTTTACTTTTGCTCTGTGCACTGTGTATATTTCTGTAATATTGCATTGACTTCCATGGGAGTTTCATATTTATGTGTGTTCTTAATAATGACTAGCATGTTTTCATGCTAATAGGGATCTTGGAACTGCTGAACTAAATAAGATGTTATTAATGGAAGGTTACTGTTTAAACTATTTTACAGGTACATCCACCTTTATGGAAGCATTAGCAGCCAATGGTACAACCAACATACAGACTTCTGTAACAGGAGTGACAGCCAGCAAACGGAGGTTTATTGACGACAGGAGAGATCAACCTTTTGATAAAAGGCTACGTTTCAGTGTGCGACAAACGGAGAGCGCATACCGGTACAGAGACATTGTTGTTAGGAAACAAGATGGATTCACACACATTTTGCTATCAACAAAATCATCGGAAAATAATTCACTAAATCCAGAGGTCAGAACAATTCTGATTTTGGGGGGTAAGGGTACAGGAAGAATTATAAATCTCTTATTTGCCTTATTTGTACCATTTATTCAGGTACAAGCGTATGCAAAATGGCACTTAGATTTTTTGTTTGTAAGATATTATACATACAACTGAATTCTAGTATAATTCTGATGAATTTATTTAGCTACGTTATCTGAATATTTTGATGGATTGTCTTTTATAATAAGTGTGGCAATTTGTCAAGTGTAACTTGAAACAAACTTTAGCCTGAATTAAGTTTCTTTTTTTTCTGAACTGGTTGCATATGCCATCTGCTGTCCAAATTACAGAAATGCTGAATGAATTCTGTAGTTACAGATAACATCTAATAGATCTTTTCTTAATGTTTTTGTTATCTTACCATAATTACATGGTAAGCTTCTAACGTAACGTAATTCCAAAATGTAAAGCTTCTAATACTGGTGGGGTTTTTTGGTTTGGGGTGGTTTTTTTGGTCACTTGGTTTTTGTTTTGTTTCTGTTTTACTTTCTAATATTTGAATAACGAAAATAAATTAACTTTTCTAATATCGTGGTTGAATGGATCCAGAGGAAAATTAAGGATGTAGAAGACTGAGATCTCTCATGGTGGAGGGGAAAGAACAGTATGCTACTTTTTAATGATATAATGAAAGGATTCTAATGATTTTTTGATTTTTCAGGTAATGAAGGAAGTCCAAAGTGCACTGAACACAGCAGCTGCAGATGACAGTAAACTCGTGCTGTTTAGTGCAGTTGGTAGCATTTTCTGCTGTGGTCTTGATTTTATTTATTTTATACGACGCTTAACAGATGATAGAAAAAAGGAAAGCACTAAGATGGCAGAAGCTATTAGGTATGTAAAGCTATCTTCAATCATCTGAATGGGTATTTTTCATTGTGTAGTCTGGTTTGCTTTATCTATGCTATTTCAAAAGTCTCTAATTCAACAAGACCTCAGATGTTCACCTGCTGTGTGATAAGTGTGCAGCACTTCTTCATGCTCCCTGGCCATTTCTATTTGGGTTGTCATTTCATGCATCACTATTTATACCATTAAAATTTTACTATGAAAACTGGCATTATGATAATATTTCTCCAGTTGAAACCAATTTTAAAAGACTTAAACAGCCATGGAGTTTCTGGAAAACTAATTTAACACACAAGACAAAAGATGTGCACTGAATGAGTAAAGATACAGTGCCTACAGAGCAGTGGAATGATGGATATTTCACAGAATTAGACTAATAGCAGTGAACATCATCCCAGTGCTAGGTTCCAAACCTAATGTTTAAATAAAATGAGCTGAGCTACTACGAACTAGAAGAATGTTTACTGAAGAAATGTATGGATAAGTACAAGGAAGCAGATTATAATTTGAACACTCTGCTTTTGAAGGCTTGAGATCTTGGAATAGCTCTTGCACGTTTCCAGAATACTAACACTCCTTCAGAGACCTATGTTCAGTAGTTACCAATATGTCTCTGAACTTTAAAATTATGAGTAAATCCTTTTTTTTTTTTTTTTAAGTAAGAACCCTACATTCAGCATCTAAAACTAAAATGAAAATTTACCTGTTGTTCAGAGCACAGGATTGCTTCACAGGTGCTGACTCAACTGTATGATGTACAATGTATTCTACGCAGACCTCAGAATTTAAGAGTCATGTACTCGCACTAAACATGTACAATTTTATCATTATATGTGATAGCTATTAGCTAAGAAATGTCAGCATCTTTCTTTTGAAGTGCTGAAATTCTCCCATCCATGTTTCATATCTGTATTTTTACTAAGAATATCTCAAAGATATTTAGTGTTTCAGAGCAGAGAAACACTTAAGTATCCATACTGGAATGAACTGTCTTTTTGTGTCAGTGAGGATGAGAACACACGTTTGTAACTTTATAGCACAACACATCATCTAAGAGGGAGCTGTGAGGCACAGGAATATACCACAAATGCTTCTGTATCAAGGAAGGAAACTCCATAACCTCACTGGTAATCTGTGCCTGTGCTCAGTCACACTGCCAGTAAAGAAGTGCTCCCTGATGTTTGGATGGTACCTCCTGTGTTTTAGTTCATACCCATGGCTTCTTGTCCTGGTGCTGGGCACCACTGAGAATAGTCTGGCTCTGTCCTCTTTGCACCCTCCCTTCAGGTGTTTGTACATATCGATAAGATCCACCCCACCGCAAGCCTTCTCTTCTCCAGGCTCAACAGTCCCAGCTCTCAGCCTTTCCTCATAGATTTGCTGCAGTCCTTTAATCAGGTTTGTGGCCCTCCGTTGGACCCTGTCATGTATACCCACATCTCTCTTTTACTGGGGAGCACAGAACAGAGCACAATATCCCAGTGCTGAGCAAGGGTGATGGATCACCTCCCTTGACCTGCTGGTGAAGCTCCTCGTCACGCAGCACGTGATACCATTAGCCTCCTTTGCCACAAGGCAAGTGCTCAACCTGGTGTTCACCAGGGCCACCAGGTCCTTTCCTGCCAGGCTGCTTTTCTTCTGGTTGCCCCCCAGTGCCTGGGGCTGTTTCTCAGGTGTAAGACTTGGCACTTCCATTTGAGAGGCTCCTGTCAGCCCATTTCTCCAGCCTGTAGAGGTTCCTCTGGATGGCAGCATAACATTTTAGCATACCAGCTGCTCCTCCCAGTTTTTTGTCGTCAAAATTGCTGAGGTTATGCTAAACCCACTGTCCAGATCACGAATGAAGATGCTGAACAGATTGGACTAAGTATGCACTCCCAGGATACACCACTGGTAACTGACCTCCAAGCAGACTTTGTTCCACTGATCACCACCTGCTGGGCCCAGTCATTCAGCCAGTTTCCAGTCCACCTCACCATCTGCTCATTGAGTCCATACTCCATCAGCTTCCTTACGAGGGTTTTATGGAGGCACCAAAGCCTTTCTGAGGTCTAGGTAGACAACATGCACTGCTCTTCCCAAGTCATGTCAGGGCAGGCTATTATCAGATTGGTTTTGAAAGTGACATTACTGCAGAGATGAATTACTACTGAGTTCTCAAGGACTGCCATATTTTGCTTTTAATATGAGTGCATGTTTGTTTTTTTTTTCTCTTCAGGAATTTTGTGAATACTTTTATTCAGTTTAAGAAACCTATTATTGTAGCAGTAAATGGCCCAGCCATTGGACTTGGAGCATCTATATTGCCTCTGTGTGATGTGGTTTGGGCTAATGAGAAGGCTTGGTTTCAGACACCGTACACTACTTTTGGACAAAGTCCAGATGGATGTTCATCCCTTACATTCCCCCGGATAATGGGCCTGGCTTCTGTAAGTAGCTTGCAGGGTAGGGGATGACAGCCTCACAATGCCATTGTGAAAATTTATCCAGAGTGATTTCAAGACCTTTTAACCTTTGCTGTGCTGTCTTTTATTTTTCTTTCTCTCCTGAGAACCTTTCATGAGAAACCAGTACTTACTCAGCTCCATGCTGTTACAACTTAGTTTACAAGTGAGTGCACAAACCAGAAGGCATGGGACCTAATCCCATGTCCTGGGCCCCCTTCAGCCCTGACAGTGGAAGAAGGGGAAGATGCATGCCTGGATACCCTTTCCCTGCTGGTGCCTTGTGAGGCCCAGCCACCAGTGTCCTGCACTCAGTACAGCATCAAGGAGCGCAGCAGAGAGCGGGCTGGTCTGCACTTACATAGCAGGCCCTGTACCACCAGCTATCAGCAGTCTCGTGCTAGTTTGCAAAATAGTCAGTTCAGCTTTCATGCACCCATTATGCTCAAGAAGTTGTGTTGAACTTCCCTTCTTTGTAGGCCTCTGCTGATACTTAATATGAGCATGTTATGCAGGTAATACTCAGTCCAAATCATCCTTGTGATTTATTTGTTTTAGTTTTGTACTCTGTATTTACAGTAATTCTGGGTTGAAGTAACTGGTTATGCTTTGCATTGTTGCTGAAGCTATAAGCCACACGTTATTTAAGTTTCTCTTTTTTCTCACTTTCCAATTAGATGAAAGAATTACATGTAACAAAAAAGCTAATTAAAAATCTCTTACCTACATTATTTTAATGTTGTTTACTATTTTTATGCTGCATTCCTTGAAAGCTGAGACCTACATCCCATTCTAATTGAAACTGAATAGTAACAGTATGAAACAAGTGCTTGCAGATATATGTTTGTTCCTAAATAATAGTTTATAATAAAATCCAGTTTTTCCCTATAGGCATTTATTGATTTAAAAATACGATTTTGATATATTAAAAGCATCAGTTTGAACAGATCTTATAACTAATTGTGTGATGTCCAGATTTAGTATAGAAGACAAGGTAATTGAAGAAGGTAATTGAAACAGATTAATAGTTGTAAGAGTGTCTTTAATATCTTAGTGTGCTACAAACTACTGATTGTTCCTTTCCCTTTTTATTTGGCCATCCATCCATTCATTCATCCATTCATCCATCCGTTCCATCCATCCCTGTCCTTTAGAGATTTGTGGTTGTTACTTTTGCTTTCTTCAGAATTTGTATGAAAACACAAGAAGCTCTTCCCTAGCATACTCTTTCATGTGCCTTTGTGAGTGCTCTCATTGTTAAAGACTTATATGTAAAGCTTCCAGTGCTACCTATAAATGTATTAGAGAAAGTCCCATGCTTTAAGTCAGTTTCAGTGTGTTCTTTTTATAAGCAGCAACTATGTAGAAATGTTCAGTGGCAAGCTTGTTGGAAATATCTTTCCTGACCGGGTCGATCTTGGTTGTTGAGCAGTCTGTCATGGAGCTTTTTTTCACAGAACATGTTTGACATAAAGTTCACTACTGCGGGAAATTTAAAGCCCAGACCTCAGGATTCAAAACTGACTCTATACTGGGAATACCAGGAATCTCAGAAGGATTCTTAAACTTTGCTTTTGAGTTCTGAAAGCAATCTAGAATAGAGATTGTGCAGGCTGTTTTGGGAGCTGTGTTAATGCGTATGTGCTGTGGAGCTCTTGCTGTGTTTTTTTTTTTTTTTTTTTTTTTTGGTCCTGGCCATAAAGCACAGGAGCTGTATGATCAAGTTTCACACGCTGGGTTTTTGTGTCAGTCTTTAGCATGTGTGGCAGTATGACTTAAGCTTTTCTGTCAGTCATGAGGGATTCACGTTTCCTAGTGTGTATAGTTTACATCAGAGCCAGGATCTTGAGCACTGTAGAGACCGGCTGCCTCTCAACTGTACTGGGAGCATGGGAGAGCTGAGGCGCTCTGTGGCAGCAAGGGCCTGTGGGCTTGCATGGGAGGTTGCACATGAGCCTCACGGCACTTGCTGTAAATAGAGGGAAACTGAGACCAGTGGGTGTCCTAGTGAAGCATGAGGATTTCACAGTGGAAGGAGAAAGACAAACTAAATAGAAAATAAGAGTTGGTAATGAGAATGTGGTATTAATTATTTTTATCATCTTCATTTCTATTGCTGTATTATGTTTCTTGGAAAGTAAGCAACAAATGTGTTAAATTTCACCACAGATAGTCATCTAATCATGCCCTCTAAAACTTGTTTAGTAGTGGGTCTCCGGCATACGCTGTATGTAGATCAAAAGTGAAACATTCCCCTTCAAAATCTGTCAGCTGAAAACACTAATGAGAGTGCTCATTTCATGTAAGGTTTTCTGCTAACGCTGCATTACAGCTTGCAGAAATCAGATAACTGCACCACTAGTGTTTGTTGTTTTCACATTCAGGAGAAATGAGTCTTAGGAGGAAAAAAAAAAAAGGTTTTATAGCATTAATTTTTTTTTAACCTCATTATCAAAGATGCTTGTGAAGAAAATATAACTCACCAGTGAACTTAAAATTTCTGAGTTTCCTAACCCCCAATAGATTGACTTCACGTTTTGATCATCAATACCAAGTATCTTTTGAAATTATTTTGGATTTTTTTTCTCAATTTCCGTAGGAAAATCTGTTCTTATTTTTCAGTCTAACTTGTATAGATCACTGATCTTTGGCTAGTGTTTCAAGTCAGTATCATTCATAAATAATTTGGAAAAGTAGAAGACATAGTTGTGATACTTCTGTTTGCTGGAACCTTTCAGAGAAAGTATAACTACAGGGATATATAACTTATGCCTTTGGTTTGACTTTTAAATAATAATAATAAATGTGAATCACAATTCTCCATATTAAGTTATGGAAGATGTAATAAACATTATTTTTAAAAATCCTAAAAAAAACAACCTCTTTATACAAGCCTCTAATGGACTAGGAGTCAGTAACCAAACTGCCACTAGAATGCAAGTTTTGTATTTCATTACAAAGGGGCACGTAATAGACAGCTGAGTGCTTAGATTTCTCTAACAGCCTCATTCCCCATATTCCAAGTGTCCAGTGATAGCTTTGTCATATTTTCAATGTAAATCAGTCATTTAAAAAAACAGTAAAACTGATTTTTTCAAGGTTGACAATTGCTCTGAGTTTTTAATCCTTCACTGGCTCTTTCTGTGCAAATGCCAAGGCAAACAAAAAGTTTAGGTGTTTATGTAATGTCAAAAAAGGTAGAAGTAAAGCATAAGCATGAATGGTTGCAGGGTGATATTTTAACAGGGAAGCTGTTAAATAGTGAAGAGTGTGATTGCAAATCAAAACAATTTACAGACTTAGAGATAACTGCATACAATATATTACTCTATTCCACACCTTTTATTAATGCTTTTAAACTGTGTGTAAGGTCTTAAATAAGTGGGTGGGTTTTTCTTTCTTTTTTTTTTTTTGGTTGGTTGGTTTTGGTTTTTAGTAAGGCTGCTATTTAGAAAGAATTTCAGTTCAATAGTGAACTTCTAAATAAATGGGAATATTTGGATTATATCCTGTTCACTTAAGTGGATTTTGTACATTGAACTCTAAGATGAGCCAGCTATTTCAAATGCTGCATCATAAATGAAATACTCTGGTGCTGGAGACATTTGAGATGGGTTCAAAATAAACCGTATAATTAGACTTCAAAAATATTCATTATTGAAAGAAAAAAAAAAGCTGCAAAATATTTAACTTTGTGTTCCTTCCAAGACTGTCGGTTCCCAGGAGGTCTGCTACCAAAACTGGCTTATCTCTATAACTTACAGATAATGTAGACTTTTTAGGAAGGATTTAGTTGCTACAACTAAAAGGCAAGCGACTTCAGTATCACTTTACAGGCCTGTCAGGCATTGTAACATATTCCTACATATATAGTTAATCAACTCTGAAATACTCCAAGAAAGCTGGAGCTTATCAACACTCATGACTAGGAAATGACGAAAGATGTTTACGCTTTTCATGCCTAATCATAGGCGTCTGTATTTTTATAACTATTGAAGTAGTATAGTCAACAGCATTGACCAAACCATCTGTAGGCAAGTCTTTGTCTTTCTTTAATAATTAAAAGTTGGAAGAGCCATAATCAAAGTACTTCAAAAATAGTGCAGGCATTTTCCTTATTTGTTTTGAGCATTTTTCTTTTAAAGAGTTTTGTCTCATTACATTTCATACCAGAAGTAACTTTTTATCCCTTCAGGCCAATGAAATGTTGTTCAGTGGGAGGAAGTTGACTGCGCAGGAAGCTTGTGCCAAAGGACTCGTCTCTCAAGTGTTTTGGCCAGGAACATTCACACAAGAAGTAATGGTTCGAATTAAGGAACTTGTCGCATGTAATTCAGTTGTAAGTGCCCTTTATTTTCTAACAATAAGGCTTTTTATAATTAGATAAATTAAAATTAATCTATTATTAGACTTATATCATCATGTTCTCCTTAAAAAAAAAAAGTTTCATAACATGAGGACCACATTTTAGAAATATTAATGCCTTTTAACATTTGAACATATCTTGTTTTGTGGTTTTGTTTGTTTTTTTTTTTAAAAAGGTATCTTACTTCTCTTTATCATATGCGTTAATATATTGTGGTTAAGAACATAACATAACATTGGGCTACTTTATAAATATACTTTGTTTTTAATTTAAGTATAAATGGTATGGCATGTAAATCCAACTTACCCTAATTAACATAAGAAACAGTTGCCCTGAGAACTGAATAGAAATGGTATCTTGAGTTGTGATTTAAATTAATAAGGAAATTGGTAACTTAAAGAAATATTTGTAAACATAGAAAAATGCAGCCTTTGTCATTAGGCTGAACTTACAATTTTACCAATGATGCATAGGCATTCATGGTTTTGTGTGCTACTGGCAGTTGCATGACAGCTGGAACTACCAAAATTTGATGCTTTTTTTATGGGAAGAGAAAGTACAAATCAACTGTTCTGTGCTTTAGAAATGCTAGACTTTGAAACAGAATAATAGTCTTCTAAGTGAAGAAGCAAACTTGAGACTTTTTTTTTTTTTGGTCTATTTTAGATACTATTATTTAAGCGTCAATGTCTGCCTGGTTATTAGAGCAGTTTTGGTTAATAGTTTTATAGTTGGCCTTCACCAAAGTGGAGTTGGCGTTTTCTCTAGTTACCAGTATAAAATCACGTATATGTATGCGTATTTATGGTTATTATTTTCATAATGGCTTGTATTTTTGTGCTTTATTAAGTTGTGTTGGTATAAGGTAAAGGAAACTGTATGACTGAGCAGGATCCATAGGGTTATAGTATATGAAAAGATTGATAAGTGATAAGATTGATTAAATTTATAATCAACTTCATGGCTGTAAAAAAAAAAAAAAAAAAACACTGTGAGCACACAAGTTGCTCTGTTCTCCTGTAATACTGAACAAACTCTCTTCTCTATTCACCTAGGTACTTGAAGAATCCAAAGCTTTAGTACGTAATATCATGAAGGTGGACTTGGAACAAGCAAATGAAAAGGAGTGTGAAGTATTGAAGAAAATCTGGGGCTCAGCACAAGGGATGGACTCAATGTTAAAATACCTGCAGAGGAAAATTGATGAGTTCTGATGAGATGCCCATTGACACTGGAATTGTATTTCTTGGACATCAGGGCAAACAGCATATGCCCATTTAAAATCCTATATAAACTCACCCCTTGCTCAGCTTGGGAACAGCAGTGGAACTTCCCCCACCTTTTATTGTCAAGGGGTTTAAAAGTACTGTATCACTTAAATTTGAACAAAACTCCTTTCTCCCTGATTGTTACATGTATATATGCACATACATAATGTGTGTGCATATATATATATAAACTTTTTATATATAAGTATATATATATATAATGTGTGAGAGTGTGTATGTAGACACACACACACAAGAAGCTAAAAAATGATAGAGTGCACTACCAAACATCTCTTTAAAGGCTATAGTTTTTGTTATCTTTGGCTAGTACTGTATCAAATAGAGAATGGATTAAAAAGTGAATGGTGTTGCATTTATTTTCTGTGTGGCAGGGAAGTCTGGAATAACGCTTTTCTTTTTTCATTAGAATACAGAACTGAAACGGGTATTAGCCAGCCCTTACTTTCACTGCCCAACAAATCAGCTCAGATGTAAGGCATTGTCTCAGAAGAAGGTTGACATACCTCAACTAATGGAACACTCTAAATTTTTTCAGAATTGAACTCCAGAAAGATTAAATCACAAAAATCCCCCAAAAGAGTGTGCTCAGGATTAATGCTAAGAAAACACTCTATGCTTTTTTTCTGGGGGGAGGTATAGAGGGGTGGGAAGAAGGTAGCAGGAATACATTTAATTCTTACCCAGACAGCATGAAGAAACCACTGTCTCTTGGGGAAGGGGAATGAGGGGAAGTGCAGGGGGAAGGAAAAAAAGACAAAAAAAGCTTGTTTTGCAGTATTAGTGAATCACTGAATATCTATGTATGAATATCCTAAGTTATAAGTTAGTTTAGTGGTTTTTTAATAGCCTCTGTTTTTTCTTTCTTTTTTTTTTTTAATAACTACATAAGTGCTTATGTTGCTGGGTGAGAATACTACTTTATATACATTTTTTTTTCCTATTTGCTGGTTTAATTGATGTATTACACCAAAAATGCATTTTATGTTCATAAATTTTAGGTTCACTTAGAATATATTATTTAATAAGTTAAAATTCTTTTGGCACACTATTAAGTAAAAAAAAAAAATTTAAAAAAACTACCTTATATTAGATGTTTAATGTTCTTTGTCTATGCTTTTTTATTATTTTAAATATACACTATATACAGTATGGTGTAAAAGAGTGCCCTGTGTAAATAGACCTATTTTGCATTCCTTTCAGGAGTGGTTATTGATTCCTGACTGCAGATATCTATAATTACTTGGGTATCTGTGCTTGCAATCTTAATGAATGTATTATGAAGAATGAAAAAGAAATCAAACCTTATTTTTGTACAGTTTTGAAGTTTTTAACTTGGAACTGACCCACCTCCCCTTCCCAGTGGAGAGCTGTACAGTGTGTAAATCTGCCTTTACCTTGGATTGGTACAGTATTTTTGCATCTGTGGGACCTACTTTTTTGTTCTAGTAGTTTAAACTATATATAAACTGTACAATCTGTAAAGTTTTTATAGAATAAATATTCAGCTGTGAAAACTGGTTAAATAAAACTAATATTTCTTAACACATTTTAAATGCGGTTCTTATATAGTTGTATTTTTCAAAGACAGTTCTGATTTTAAAGAAAGAGATGCATAAATGTTGCAAATTAGAGACTTTAATATTAAGGTTTTATTCTGTCAAATGTATATAAGCTCTTAACAGTTCCCATTGAAATGTTGAAAATTAATTTTTTTAAACTATATAGATATTTTCTCTTAGATGAGGTTGATAGGAAGACAACATTCAGTAAGTCATTTGATTCTTATTTTTTTTGTTACAGTTTGCAAAAAAAATTACTGAATACTCTTTCATATCTCTTAAGAATGTATCATCAATAATTCTGTGGTAAAGAAAGTGAGGATTCCCTACCTGAATTTGATTATATTGAAAGGGAGAAAGAAAGATACATTACAGAAAGTTCTGTAATGTTAAACCTTTTTGAGTTTGACTCAAGTTGATATTCACATCCCTTTTCTTGCAGCTTGAAGAAGAATTTGGGCATAGATTGCATCTATTTCAGCTTGAGGATTATGTATGCTATTCTTAACCATGAATAAATTTCACTGAAACAGCCAGCTAGATCTGGAAATATTTAGAAGAATTATATCAGTTGAACATGTAGGCAATTCAAATGAAAAAAATAATTCCATTTGCTTCATTTTGTGTTGTTACTTTCAGTCAGGCTGTTACTATGACTCAATTTGCATATTAAGCTGTGAATAAATCAGAAAAAGTCCTTACTTCAGACCGCTTTGTATAGTCATTGCCACAGCTACATAGCTGTGTCACTGCGCAATTGCCCTACCTTTATATTAGAACCAGTAACTAACTTTACACTATTAAAAATATGCTGTCATTCATTAATGGCATACTTTTGTATATATCGGACTATAGAGATATCATTTCTATAGGAAAGTTCTGTCCAGTTCTCTTAGGTATAGGTCAGGAAATATCCTCAGTGTGCAATTGTTACTGATATGCACAACTTACCTGTGGAGGTTCTGAGGATGTTTTCATTTAAGATGAGAAGCATTCAGCAGAAATAGTAAATCTTAGTAATACCTTACTAAGGCATTTGTACTGAAGAGGTCATATAGGGAGTAAACAGGGTAGTTTTTTTATTTTAGTGTCTCTAAGATGAATATGTGGAAGCAATGTAAACTGAACATCTTACCCAACAGGAGAGGCCCATCCAGCAAGGTAGGCATCAGGTACTGAAGTAAAATGCAGTGTACCTGTTTTTCACATTCCCCTCACATCTGAATTGCTGCACTATCAATCCACAAAAGCTACCTCCAATAGTTGCAGGTATGTGAATCTTCCATGGCTGCCTCTTCTTACAGGGCTTGAATTCTATTAATGATGATTTTTGAAGAGTTTACAGGTTTCCAAACACTTCAGGGGAAAAAAAAAAAAAAGCACTTGTGAGGAAAAGTGGCAACACTGTGAAGATTTTCTACCAAATATCTAATAAGTAACACAGAACTTTAATTTTAGCTGCTGTCAAAAAAAAAAAAAGTCCTCCAACCCACACAACTGAGGACCATATATTTGAATGGAACAACATTAAGGCTAGTTTAGTTTTTAGAAAACCATAACAGAATAAAAGACAGCAAAATAATGGCCTTCTAATAGCAATCAATCAATCATGAGATCATATAAAGTGACTCAAGACCTTTTAAAATTAGTGTTTTCCGTGCTTTTCTTCACAGAAGTCAGGTCTTTGTTTAGCCTGTTTCGCTGCTGAGGCTTGTATTGTTCTACACAAGCTTGCAATACTGCATAGGTAAATCAGCCTGAAGAATCAGATTTAGCTTCTGGTCCTTAAATGCAGCTGCAGCCACAAGGGATTGACTGGGCCCAAGGACAAGGGTGGAAAGACTGCTGAAGCCAGCATTACCTTCTAAGGCACTTTTTTGGAGTTGTAACTTCACAAAAGCAGTTGCACTTTAAGATGCCTTTTCTATGCTGATTCTGGTACTGATGTACTGGAGTGTGAACAACTTGTTCTAGGAAATTTTGGAGCCTCATAGGTTGTTGGACCCAGGTGCTAAGAACATAGAAACGATATCTTTCTGAATGTCTGAGAGAACTTCCATATGGTGTTTTTGTGGTTTTTCTTTTCTTTTTTTTTAAACAAGGAAGAAACTTTTTTTTTTTTTTACCCTTCAGGCACAAAGACAAATCACAAAACCTGCTTAGGTGTCAGACATCTAGCCAATGGCTAGTAGAATTTGGAAAGATGGTACTGGAATAGGAACTTGAGTTAGTTTTAACCTGGCTCAGTCTTGACCCCTAAGGCTCCTGTCAAGACTGTCTGCTACTGTAAGTGCTTTACTGTATTACACAATCCATGCTCTGTAAGGAATTCAGAATTCACTAGAGACAAATGAGAAAGCAACTATCAGTGTTGGTGCTGGAATATCAAAGTATGACAGGAACCTTAATAGTACAGTCTAGGAATCTCTCTGGGACATTCTAGTTCTCCTGAAGAAGGTACTATCACAGGCAGTAGCAAACAGCAACAGGTTAAGTACTGGCAATTGAACTGGGCAGGCCTTTGTGTATGCTTACTGCACAAAAAGTTCCATTACAATCAAATTTAGTTTTGGAATTAAATAAAGTTACTTTTCTCCTGGTCAGGAAACAGTACCAGAAAGACATGATTTGAATGTACTTGGAACTGTAGGAAAGCCACCTGCCACACCTTCTCTTGATTTGTTACTTTGGAAAAAACAGAAACTATAGCAAGGTTTTAGCTCTAGATAAGTTAACCTACAACAAAAGGTATTTGGGGCTAATTTCAAAAGCTGAACTTACCTTGAAGTCTTTTCTTTGTTCCAAGTTACTCATTTGCTTAAAGCCTGGATTTCAAGCAGTTTCCTTCAAGAAGTCCTTCACTGGATTGCTGATGTTGCTAAAGGGTACTTCTCTGTGCTCCAGAAACCGCACCATTATTGTTCTAAAAAAAAAAAAAAAAGAAGAATTTAATCCCCTTTTTAGGTGAGATCCTTTTGTTGAAGCTAGGCTTATTTGAAAGCAATTGAAAAAGGTGTTGAAATACATCAGTGCTCCACTATTTCATACTTTATCCAAACAGTGGGGAAAAAATAGGACTGCAAACATCTAGGGATCAGGGCCATAAACAAAACATTTCTGGCTGAGTGGATGGGAGAGATGCTCTTCAATGAATCGAGCCAATAATCTACCTGGCTTGTTGGTGGGAAGTTGAAGTACTTCGTGTTCATCTGGGCTTTGACAAGTACACCTTTGATGAGAGTAGGAGGAAGGTGATACCTCTCAACTCAATTACAGTTAGCCTTATGAATTTCCATGCTAAGGAACTGCCAGCAGCTGTCAACACTCAGGCAGTCTTACAGTGCTATATCAGAGGCTGAGTTGGCAATGTTAGATCACGCAGCATGAGTGCTGTTACACTGAAGACTGCACACAGGTAAATTTTCCTTTCCAAAGGAAGCTGTAGCCATCAGGATGAGAGCCCCTGTATGGCATAAGATCACCATGTCATATACCTGTTCTGAAGAGCTGCTCACATTTTTCTAGAGAATACTTCAGTTACAGGTCTCTGCATTTTTTTTTTCTTACCCTTGAGGAACATGACTGGTGGGTTGTCATACACCAGACTTTCAAATACAAGCAGGGAAATAAAGAAAAAAAAAAAGAAGAACATTGTGAGGCATTAGCAGGATGTAGAGCAGTTTGACATGTAAAGATTCTGAGGTGCAATACAAAATGAGGTGATGGTGACACAGTCCTGTTGGTTCTCCTTAGTCCTCCTGCACAGGGAAAAATAAAACAAATAAGGGAAACTGGTAACCACCAAGACAGAGCAGGGAAGTATTTAAAACAGCAGCATGAAGAAATAAAGGAATAGCAGTTATGCTTTCTTAAGTTCTAATGTTAGAGGAGAGAAAGGCCAGGTGAACATTTACCTGTTCAATCCATCAGTGTAGAGTATGTTATCAGTACCTACAGCTAAACTCATGCAGACAAGCCTCACATTTGCAGTCCCTGGTCCTCATGGGAGACTTCAACCACCCTCATATCTGCTTGAGGGATAACAGAGAAAAGAGAAGGCTCCAAGGGGTGAATTCATCAATGTATAGCAATACCTGAATGGAGGGTATACAGAAGATGAAGCCAGGCTCATTTCAGTGGTGTCCTGTGACAGGGCAAGAGGCTGTAAGCACAAACATAGGAGGGTCCATCTGAACATCAGGGAACGCTTTTTCCAATGTCAGGTTGACTGAGCAGTGACTCAGGTTGCCTGGAGAGAGTTGAGATCTTCAAAAGCCTCCTGGACAACCAGCTCCAGGTGGCCCTGCTTGGGCAGGGGAGTTGGACCAAACGACTTCCAGAGGTCTCCTCCAGCTTCAACTGTTCTGTGTTTCTGTGGGGAAAATAAAATAAATTTGTATTTATTTTCCAATGATACAAACATCATCCACAAATGATCTTTATGGCTAGAGCTGAAGGATCATCAGGCTCTGCAACACTACATGCTTTAATCTTTTGAGAACCCAACATCTTGTGCTCAAAGGTACCAAATCACCCAGAACAGAGCTGAACACAGAGTGACTTGAGTGTTTTGGATAAGATGGGGATCATCTTTTACTCTAGTAAAAAGCCTAAAGAAAAAGTCTTATTTGTTTCTTCAAGGATAATCAGGATTGAAATACTTAAACAAAACAAATACACATGCCTTTTATAATACCTGAAGAATTGCTTTAACCTCAGCAGCTTCTAAAAATTTTGCCTTTTTCTTCCCTGAGGTCTGCCTTAATCAATCAAGCTGCAATGCTTCTGGCAGTCATACTGAAATGCATCCACACCGGCTACTGAATAAGACAGTAAAATACGTTAAATTGGACCTAACAGCTCACACAATCTGCTATGTGTATCCTCTGGATATAACTTACCAAACACACTATAGAAAGACAATATAACACTGCAAGGTGAGAAGTCAATTAACAATGCTATAATAAAATAGTATTTCCTAAATGCTTCTTTCTGAGACTCATTCATTATGACCCTATACTTCCATCTCCAGCAAAATGTCATGATTGTTAGACAAAACCCAGAATATAAATACTCTTCAAAGTCTTGCTTAGCATCCCTGCCTCTTCCTTATCAATTAATATTTTACCAAATTCACAGTACCATCCTTCTCAGTGGGAGCAGGCACTGACACACCTCAGCATCGCTCCAGCCATGTGCTAAGCCAACTGGCCACTGCCAGTAGCAACTTCTGTGAAATGCAAATGCTGCTCCTCACACTTCTAATGTATTTGAAATTCACTTACCTTGTCAGGTTGGATGGGAATCTTTAGTCAAACACTATTATTTAAAGAACATAATAAAAAAATTGCTAAGCCAGGAATAACTAAAACACACACATCTACAGAAACCATGCTTGCACTCCATGATGTAAAAATGACCAAATAAGTAAGTGTTCTTTCCATGTTGGTTTCAGTAAGGTCTGCTGTGGCACAGGACTGCTATGTCATAGAAGCACACTATGTTCAAATGTCACAAGGCAGACACATCCATATTTTTTCCCCTTTGTTCTCTCCAGCCCTCTCACCGGGCTCTACACTCAGAAAGAGCAGCAGGGATTAGAGCTAGAAATGTGGCAAGTCCTGAACATAAGTTCTGAAATAATTTTTTGATTCTAAATAGCAGTTAACAAAATTAACAAGAATGTAATGCTGGGAGCTTCTGAACGAGACAAGCACTTGAATCAAGAGGATCAAAATAAGACAAAATAAGAAAGCAAAGGAAAGCAACCATGTCCACAAGAGGTTTGTTTTTGTTTTTGCTTGATTTGTAGGCCTTGTGACCAGTCATGTCAAAATAGGAGTCTGCAGACTGAACTTTGTGATCTCAAGAGCTGAGCTGTAACATCCCCAGAAGCAGCTGTAAAGTCAGCATTGCACCACATCTAAGAATAATTGAAGTCACACTTTCATTTTGGAGTGTTTATGAAGGAATTACACATTCCTTTATGCCGACACAGAAAATCCCATTCTAGATACAGACGAAGTATGTCCGTACATCCAGGGGAAGACAAAAAGTCAGGTTTTGACACCAATTTCTATGAAGCAAAGCAAATTTCATTGCTGAACTTTCAAAAATAAACAAGCAAATAATACCGCAGTCCATAACGTTATACATATATAATGTAACAAATAAGCCATATAAAAAATTTCCAGAAGTTCCCCAAGACAGGTTGATTAGCTGAGGAAAAAAAAATAATTTTGCCAATTTCTAGGAAAAGACAAACAGAGTCCCTGACTTTAGATTCAGAGACCTTGGAAGTCCTCAGCAGAGTTTTGTACTCCAAGAAATTGGCTTGAACCCAGGAAGTGCCCTGAAGGAAGATTTCTGGCCAGTAATCCCCAATAACTTGACATCCCACCATTATTTCCCTGTCTCTGACAGTCCTGGTGCTCCTCTAAGTTCATGCCAATGAAGAGGAACTGTGCTTGAGAAGAGCTTCAGTGCTGATGGCAAGGATCTACAGCACACTCTCTAGAAATGTGTTATCACTGAAGACACAGTTCCCAGTAGTACAAGGCACAAGCAAGGTAAGTGTTGGATTTGCTCAGACCACTGCCTCTTCACAAACTGGAACTCTTTACATGGACAATGGAGAATAAGAACACATCCAGAATGTACAAAAAAAAAAAAAAGTAATGCACAAGAAGAGAGAGGCAGTTCCCTTGCAAGAATGACAACTGAGAACAAGGCTCTTTTATACCTGTTTCTCCTATCAAGTACAACAGGAGCTCTACTCAAAACACGGCATGAAGGCATCTGTGTACAGTGCCTCGAATGCTGCCATACTTGACACTGCAAATCACTGATGATAAACCATCAAGAGTACAACTTTGCTACAGACTGGATGACTTTCCCCACTAAACACACTATCACCAGCTCACAGGCTTTCTGATTAAGGCAGCCACAACCCCAGCTCATACCAGCAACGTGAAACTGCCCCTTCCAACATGTTCTCCCTGATAACTAACGCCCAGCTGCTTCACATCTTTGTCTAGCCAAAACAGCCAACCAAGGCACACACGTGGGAGGAGGTGGAGTCTTCTACGAACCCGACAGAAGCACTGACATAACACTGCATTATCCTAGGGGCCTTCCAACCTCACCGTACTTGCAGCCCAAAATCTGCTGGGTAGCCAGCACCTGGTACTAGTTCTTTCTTTTCGGTTTGTGGTTTGATAAGGGACACAGAAAATTACTTCAACACGTGCACCAAACCACTGCTGGAATTGCCACAGAAATGGGTGTGGAGGACATAATGGAGGACAAGGCAAATGCCAAAGCACCTCAGCCTGTGAGAAAGATTCAGAGATTGTGCAAAACCATAAAAAACCTGACGGTCGTGGGTCTCCTGCAGCAAAACCTGGCTTTCTTGCCTGGGGCCAGCAGGGATTCACCCCCAGAAGCGAGGCTGTTGCTCGCTGCTCCCTCTGTGGAAGGACTGCATTTGTCAGGGCTGGATAGCCCGTAACTGTCTCCGTGGGAACCCCTAAGGGGGAAACCAGGGTCTCCTCAGAACTGACAGGAAAATTTAAGACTTCCTTGAAGAAGAAAAGGAGCAAGGCACAAGAAATCCAAGGCAAGAAGTGGAACTATTCCTAGCAATCATGATAATTGCAGTTTTGTAAGTTAGGCTGGCTGGGTGCCCAGAATGGGTAAACAACCCTGAACCAGTTTAACTGACAAGCGTATTACAGCTTGCATGGCTCTGACGCAAGGCAAAATGACCTCCAACTTTTCCAAAATCTTAGCTACAGATTTTCTCCCCATGTTTTTTTCTCTAATTGTGTAATTTAAAAACCTAGAACTGCTCTAGGATAGCAAAGTTTGATATTTCCAACAGTAAGCATGAGGTTTAGACACAGCTATCAGTAAAAGCAAATGGGAAATAAATTTTGCTTAGATCTAAGTTTTAAAAATCCTTATTTTAAATGTATTTCTAACACACAAACAGCGGTTGTACATACACAACATGCAGTATTCACTTGTATATGCTGCATGGACAATTTACCCAATAAGTTTACAAGGTTTTCCCCATTGTAAGAGTTTTAGCCATGTTTTTTTCCTTTATTTTTTTGTTGTTGTTGTTGTTTTACAACTCACCCAAATACTTTATATGAAGACAACTTTAAACTCAATTTTATCCCTGTGTTACAATGACCCAGTGTTATCCCAGCAGAATTTCTGAATTCAATGCTTCTGAAGATCAGAAGCATTCACAAAATTGCAATGGAGGGCCTGCTGGCACAGCTTCAGAAACTTTACTTTAAAGGTCCAAGCTTATGTGCGAGGGAGAAACTTTCACAAGCAGTTTTAAGAACTCTGAAGGTAGATATCAGGCATGCTTTACTTGAAGTCCTGTGTTGTAAACAAACATTTATTTATTTTTAAAACAGAGGATGGAAGAGTGCAATTATTTCAATTTTTGGTCTGCACAGGCTTTTCATGCATACAACGATTTCATCTGAATGCCAGTGTTCTTTCTACAGCTGGAACTATACATCCCCTCATCAAATAACACCATTATGGAAAGACAAAATTATTATAAAAAAAAAAAAAAAAGTGGTGTCTCTCAGGTTTACTGAGGGAAGAGGCAAAAACCTTATGAAACAGGAGACCCTGAAGGATGTTTAACATCCTTCAGCCCTCTTTGCTGTGTTACCATTATCTCCCAGTAATCCCGAGGCAGAACTTGACAGCAGCTCAGAGGAGCTCCTAGAAATAACGTGTAAAACCATTTGCCACCTGAAGGGGTCAGTCGGAACTGACTGGAACGCAGGAGAGCTGGAAACCTGGTACCCTTCTAGCTTGACCTGCCTGGAGCTGGTTACCGCGCTGCATTTCTTCAAAACCCCAAATCTTGTAGCGTTTAGGTTCCTAAACTCCTATTCACACATACACAAAGTAGAACATGAGCATTGTTGGCAACAAGTTGCTGAAAATTGTACTACCTAACTTCAATAGGTTCATCTTTCTTAATGATCATTTTTTAATCACGAGACAAAACCAGTCCCTTCAATCCTGTTTTGTTTCTCCTTGGGCCTTTTTAATTTGCTAGCTTCTCAGGCCTTGATTCCAGCTTCCCATAAACTCAGAATCACATAAATCACATTTTTTTGCATCACAATTTGCATCTTTTCTAATAAAAAGAAGGCCTAATTCTCTCCTAGCATTATGTCTTTGAGCATTCTTCCTTAGTATCCTGTGGAGCTGCATCCGATTCACAGCAGAGTACAAAAATGACTGGAGCATAGCAAATCTTTTGGTTGCCTTCATTCAGACCCCATGGTTTCTTTTGCTGTTATCTATCTTTCCCACAAATTCCACTTGATGCCTACTAACAAAATGCACAGCACGCTAGCTCTAGACTTGCTGCTTATGCTACTCTTGACGCTTTTCTTTTCCCCAACCCCCTACCATCACAGTACTTTATTTATTCTTCTGAATTCTGCCAAACACTGAAGTCATAGCTTGAATCTTCAATTTACTCAGATCTCTAGCTCTTTTCCTTATTCTATAGCTGCCTTCTCCTTTTCCTTGTACACATTATCATGTCCGAGTAACTGTATTTTTCATACCTGTATTACATAATGGACAACTGTAGTTTATTTTCCTTCTCCCCTTTTCACTAAAACCTGGCAGCTCACAACGCTCAGTCCATCTGCATTTGCACATCTTCTGGGAAAATCCGGAGTTCACTGTAACACAGGGGTTAAGAAATATGAAGCTTATTTTGGCTCTGCTGTGATTCCGACTCCTAGCAGCCAACTTGCCTCTTTCAAAATGTCATTTTTCAACAAAACCCATGGGCTCTAAGACTTTAATTCATCCCCAAACTACATGCAGATGAGCAGGCTCCAGCCAGCTCTCACTTGCCATGAAGCCAACATGCTAATACAGCTCCATCTTTGCTTTCAAAAACCTCATGACAGGCTAATTAATTTAATAGTCCAGACTTCTCTTTGGCTGGTTTCAATTCCCTTCCCAGAAAGCTTCCCCCAGCTCTTTACAATACCTTGAAACAGTTTTTCACTATCTCAAACAATTATTGTTCTTGACAGTTGGTCTCAGAATTTTCCATGTACCAACCTTTTCCATCACCATGGCAAGCCAGATGCTTTGGGAAGAAAAGAAGGAAAAACAAGGCATGACAGATCCCTTTTGTACTTTGCCCAAAATCTCCAAAAAATGTTAAATATGACATTATTCAGCTGGCAATAACACACTCAGAACAGCTACAGGGACACAAAGCAACAGGCTACGTGTCTAACCATGGGGCATCGACAAACTTTCTGAAGCTTGTTTAAGAACAACCAAACAAACTTGAAAGCACTGGCTTGGATGAACCAAACTGAAGTGCATTTCTCTCTATCCTTCCTTTTCTAGCAACAGCAAAATCTTTTGTGCAACTTCACCACTTTTGAGTGTGTTGTTTGTTTGTGTTTTTCTTCAAAAAAAGATTGGAAACACTGAAAGGTGGAAAGCAGAGCTGGACTCTGCACATTACTAGAGTGCTGGACACAATGCTGGTAGTATACTATGGGCCTTTCACATTCAGTATCAAAAATGGTTAGGGTTTCAGTGAAGTTCTCAGAATTTGCACTACTCCCTCTTTCTTATTCACAAATAGTGAATCCTTCACTGAGAACATCTAGGAAATTTATGCAGGAGGGTTTAGACATCAGGAATCAAGTTTATTCCTCATAGTAAAACTGACTGTAGTAACTTCCAAACTACAGATGTGGTGAAACATCTTGTGGAGTTAAATTAGACAGAAAAAAACAAAATCAAAAAAACAAAACAACAACAAAAAACACACTGTGAAATCAAAAGAACAAAAGTCCAGAACAAGGCAGCTACCTATTTCTACTTTTAAATGGAAACAAAGTTCTTCAAAAAAATCTGAGTCAATAACCCCTACCCAGGGGCACACAGAACACCTTTGAGCAGAGGAGAGGACACAGCTCCAGTGGCCAGCATCACCAGATGATTTAGGCAAAAGACATACCATCCTCAACTGTACTTATTTATAAGGCAGAGTATTGTAGAGTATTGTAGTTAATTTACAGTAAGTGCCTTTCCTGGGCATTTTCTTGCCATAGTAACACAAGAAACCAAGAGTGCTTATTACAGCGGTGTCCAGCCTCTTCATTTTTGCACAGATCCTGGTATTTGTAGGTCTTCTTTTAGGGAAGTATCTCCTCTTCTTGTTTGACCGGGAATGGAATATATCTAGACATACGTAGAAGTATTTGGCACAGTAAGCTATTGTTTCATTAAGAAAAGTACAATAACCACTTGATTTTTACCAAATTCAGCACACTGTGGAAGAACATGGGAAATATCCTTCTGCACTGAAATCAACCTTCTTAACACATGCTGACCTCTTCTATCCATTTGACTCTTACTGAGTTCACAAAAAGAAGTACAGAAGAAATACTCAAAAAATACTCAACTTAGTATTAAAATACTGTAACTTTTTCTCAATCACTAAGATCTCCCTTCAAGACAAATTTTATGTTTAATCTCAGTCCAAGACCAATTTCTAAGGTCTTTTATTTCTTTCCTTTATCCACTTTTGCTTTTTTTTTTTTTTTTTATGGAAATGAATTGAGAGGGAAGAAGGGCACCACAGACATTTTAGAGCAGTAATTGTATGAGCTTGCACACTTCAGCCTTTTTAAGAACCTGAGGTGCTTTTACCTTGCTCTCATCGTTTACACGGACAAGCACTTAAAACACTTTGGACAAAATCTGTTTCATAAAGCAATTTCTATGCTATTGAAAAAGCCTCAAACATCTGCCCTGTGTTACCACTGCAGTTATTCATTACTGAAATTTGTTTCTGAATCATATTTTTTGAGTATTCCAGAAAATATCAGGTATTCCCAAAATGACTGTTCTCCAAGGAAAAAGAAAGAAAGAAAGAAACAAACAAACAGAAGCACCACCTTCTTGGAGGTATACTATTTGCAAACTAAACTGTGAGTTGCCAGTGCTGAGAGCTTTGAATGACAGTTGTCAGATTGCTCTTCCAGAAGAAAGGCCAGACGTCCACAGTTTATATTCCCTGGAAGCAAGTCCTTCTTGCGTATCTACATAGGCTGTGGCAACTGCTGGCCAAGGGCAGGGTAAGCGGGCCACTGAGCAGGCCCTGTGCCTGCAGCAAAGCCTGTCTCCCCAGCTGACTTCTCAGTTTCAGCACTGTAAACAGTTTTAGAAATGATGCCAGTAAACCCAGGAGCACTTGAACTTTCTGAATCAACCCACCAACCCACACTGGTGTAAGGAAAAGAAAGAAATAGCTGCTTCAGACTACAAAGTACCACAGCAGTCCTGAATGCAACAGACCTACCTTCTGACAGGCAGAAAGACCTGTTCTTCACAGCTCCTCTTCCTAGAGGTCATCAGCATATAGTTCACTTGATCAGGCCATGCATCAAAGGACCAGACAGTCACTCATATGCAGTTGAAACTTAACAGCAACTCCACTTTCAGTCCCCAAGTAAGAAAAGTCGGTGTAGGTTGTCATTTACAAAAGCAGTGAATCTATAGGATAAAAATTGGCTCTTCCATCCAGTCTACCAACATCAGTGAAAAGTTTTGCACAGAGCATGTGTGCTTTCTTACATGGAAGTGTCATGGCTATGCTCCAAGCTCCTAGTTCCACAGGAGCTATATAGGGAGGTTCCCACAGCCAACAATACCTCGGGGACTTGAAAGGAAGCTACAGGAATGCTTCGCTATTTAAAAACGCATTCATTTCTGTTCAGGGGAAGGGAAGACATAGAGGAGAAAGGTTCCCATACAAAGTAATGTAAGTGAGGTTGGGCTGAAGGTCCTTTTGAAGCCGTATCTTACATAGCTTCTTGAAAGCATGCTCAGTCCCTGCTGAATCTTGCCCCTCTAAATCTTCACACAGGCATGGAGCTTTGAGTTCACTCTCATTTAATTTGGCATAGTGTGTAAATATTTTGAGCATTGCTTGGGGAATAGCAAAGGGAACCTGGCAGGAAGAAGCTGAGAAAAAGAAAATTAAAAATAAAGTCCTTTTGAGAAACCAGGGAACTAAATAAGCATCCTACTGATTCTGTAAAGTTTAAGGACCTCTATCAACAGGGATCAAAACCTAAAGCCTGTGTATTATCCCCAGAATAAAGCATTGGCTGCTTCCCACCAAATGCATCAATTTCTGTCTAGATCACATAGAAATGACATGCTTGTAATGGGAGCCATAATTAGTAGTGTTTCCACAAAACAATACATGGGAATTTAGCCATGTCTCTCTGCTTGTTTTACAGGGAAGTCCTACAGCTAAAAATCTCAGCCTTCCTCTTGGGGAGAAGAGAACAATGAATCTTGCTGCAGAATGACATATTCCAGGCAATTAATTACAAGAGCTTCAGCCCTCAAAGCCACACTCTGAGCATGACTGGAACATAAATAGATTAGCAACTGCTAAGGATTGCTTTTCTCCTGATTTGGAAAGAATGTTCCCACTTTGCTTTTGTAGCCTTCAATGATGCACAACCATTCTTTAAATAAGAAAAGCCATTTCACATTTTTATAAATATACCAAATGCTTCATGTTACCCTTAGTTACCCTTCATCTCTCTATTCTCTTCAATGTTGCCACCTAAATGGAGCCACATTTTCCAGCACACCGCAGTCTTGCCTTAAGCAGAATAAAACCTATGCCACTTCCTTCACTTACATCATCCCCCAGACAGGTAAAGACAGGACTTGTTTCACCCTGGAGTCCTGGTCAAAGCCACCGCTCTCTGATCAGCAGTCTTCAGAGGGAGAAAGACATGGCCAGAGCTCATCAGACATTTTGAAGTGAATTCTGTGAATGCTGCATGCACCTGCAGCTCTCGCAAAGTGCTTTACAAAGCAAGTAGCATTGCTCTGTTTGTTGCATTGAATGGGAAGCTGTCAGAGCAGTACGGAACTGCAGAATTATTTGTAGAAGGTCACCCCCCCAAAAAAAAAAAAAAAAATCCACCACCACCAAAACTCCTATTTCCATCAGAGCAGACTGAACTAAATTGCAGAATGAGATAACCTGAAGGTGCACCACAGTCCTTCACACTTCATAGCAGCTGCTTTTTCTGCATCTCCTTTCTAAGCACCTGAGTAAATGAGCTCTGTGGGGCTAGGAATCCTGTTGACGGCTGTTAATGCCATTGGGAAACAAACTGCCTACAAAAAGACATCACAATGCTCAGCACCGCTTTTGAAGATCTAACCTCAGGACACCTACATCATTTTGAAGACTTAATTGCAAAGGCATGCTGGTCACACAAATACATTTAGACATCTGGCCAAGATGCCCATTACTCTGAGCTGCTAAATGTTTACTGCTGCTACTTATCTTAAGATCAGTGCAGGTACAGAGCCTCTACGCATCTTAGATTCCACAGTACCTAACACGAAGCTGAGTCCCCACGTCCCATGCAGCAGTACGAAATCCATTGGTATTTGGAACACGTGACTTCATTTCTGTCTACTCAGTTGCAAGTACGTGATACAGCATGTATACGATACCAGAACTGTCATAAAGCTTTATAAAAGTATTTGAACACATTTAAATAAGTTTATTGGGCTACAACTTGTTCCAACACTAGGAGCTCTGAAGTTGGATTTACTATCTAACAAAATGACAGGCTCAAGAACCAATGCTTAACTGCTTGGTTTTGTGTCTGTACTGCAAAAGCTGACTAATTTAACTCTTAATTTCAGTATCAAAGAAGAAACCTTGCTGCACAAAGCACTGTCTGTGTTGGTCCAATGCCTGTATGGTGTCTAGTTCACTAAGGCTATCGTCCCAATGCCAAATTTTGGTGTCAAGCTACAAGAACTTTTGGAAGTTGCAGTGCAACACAGCACTAGTTTCCCTCAGCAAAATTATTCACTTTTAAAAAACATATATTCAATTGGGTAGTACCGAAGAAAGGTACAGACTTTGATAAAGATTTGAAATACTTGTCTTTGCAATTAACCAAGGAACATGCTATTTTTCAGCTACAACCACTTGATAAAACTCAGACCCTTTGCAGCCTCTACAACCCTACTGGTGTACAATGCAGAAAACTTAAGATTACTGGGATCCAGTGAACCTAGACATCCAGCTTAGATATTAACAACAATAATATTAACATCAATGCTCATCTTCATTTGATAGTGGGTGGGGAGAATAAGTGTTTAGCTCTCTGCCAGACAGAACAGCATACACTACTGCTTAGGATATTCTTCAAGTGCAAAAAATATATCCATATTCTATTAACTAAAGCCAACTAACTTGTTACAATACAGCCAGCTCAAAGAAATTTGGCATAGCCATCTCAACACACTCTCTGGAAAGCTCAAAACTGTGCAAATCACTTCAGCTCCCCCTTTTTGCTCCTGTATATGGCTGCATTAAAAGTTTTAAGCAGTGCTGAAAGTAAACTTCCAAGGATGGATCAGAAGCCATATTTTTGCTCTGCCAGAAGAGACGATCTACAAAGAATTGCCTTGGTTTGTAGTAGATACTTAAGAAACTGTTAATATTCAGAAGGTGGATGTTTAATACCCCATGAATTGGATTAGTCTCTATTTTTACTCTTTAAGCTCTATCCCAAAAATAAAAATGACTGAAACAGTTCAAACATGTTCCAGTATAGCCAGCACATAAGGACATACCAAAGACAGAAACAACGCACGTATTAATATTTAATTAACAGCACCACAGGAACTACGATCTAGTAGCTAGAGTACTAGATTGGCTATAATGAGTCTTCGCTCTAACCCCAGATCAGCCACTGACTTGCTATTACCTTCCATAAGTGGGAAAGGAAATACTCCTCTAAGCCTTCCTTTTTGCTTTTCGTGAGTGTTTGTGTGTGTAGCAGGGACTCACTCTACACGTACAGATCTCCACAGTGGCTCTGCAGTACTGGGCAAACAGTCCTACTGCAGATTGCAATTAACAGTAATAGCAGCATCTTCCAAGCTACCTCAAGACTGTTTTAAATCTTTGGTATTTCCAAACCACTCTTAGAAGCTTTACAGATAAACCAAAAGGCAGCCTGTGGAAAAAAATAACAAAAAAAAATCCAACAAAAACATTATAACGCTCAATTTCTATGCAATCATCAGGCTGATGACATGAATGTGTTTCCTGTGTTTTGTTTTTTCCCCAAGAATCCAACTGTACATCTTGGCTAGCTTCTCCAAAATGGGTATTTCTCATCAAACCAGAGCAAGATGCAGCTAAGACAAAGCTAAAGCTCCTCCTTCCATTAAGCCCCATTTCCTCCCTTTCAAGCAGCCTTAGATTAGCATTCATTTTTGTCTCTCCAACATTACCCAGAACTAAGCTGTGCCAAATCTTGCTGCATTCTTTCTACAACCACAACAGCTTTAGTATTGCTTTGGATAGTCCAAGTTCTTTTTCCTCATCCTTATGTCTAACTTTTTAGATTCTCCCATATTAATACTAACAATATTAATATTTCCTCAAACAAAACAGCGCTACCAAAGTTAACTCCTATTCCTGCCATTGTCAATCACATACAGCTTTGTTTCTCCAGATAGGTTCCTGACTCGGTCACCATTTGCAAAACAAAAAGGCAAATATATTCCATTTAGATTGATTTTGCATAACACATTATCCAGCTGCCTCAGCTTTTATATCCCCTTTGTCAGCATTAATGTTTGTTCTCTATTTGTTCTGCACCCACCAATTTCTAAATATGCATAAGCACTTGCTCAAACGTGGGGCTGGAAAGAAGCGAGTGATCTTTGTGGTCTGTTCCCAGCTTGCTGCATTATCATCCATTAATCTCAATAAAACTCTTTCCTTCCATCAGCCAAGAGGACTGGCACGGCTCCGTAGAAGGCTGAGGTTAAAGCAGAGCAGTGGTTCCCAAACTCTATAGGAGCGCCTTATCACTGTCCACATACCAGGAAACAAAAACCTCTACCCCTCATGCAACCAGCTTGCCCCAGGCTTGTCTCTGGATCAAGTATTTGGCTCTCCTTCCCTATGCTAGATAAAACACTCCCCAGAGGCCAAACTTCTTAGTAAGCGCTCAGCCCTTTGATCTCAGAAGCAGCTGGCAGCACAGCTGCTCCCCATTACTTTTGCAGCTCTCAGGAACCCTTTGGATTTTCCTCATCCTCCCTTACAGCCAGGCACAAAGGGCAAGCACACCACCAGCAGCCACCTTTCGTTCTCATGAAAAACTTGAGCTGCTGCCTCACCTCACGTACCCAGCCCAATTCTTTCTTGAATTACTGCCCAACCAGCCCAACCCCAGCTCTTCCCCTGTAAGTACTCCCTCAAGCATGTGAGCAATGCCTTTCTTCAGCAGGTCTCCTTTCTTCAGCAGGTCTCATCCATGCCTGGGAGTTTGCTGGGGAAGACAGGCTGCCCCCTGCACAGCACTTCGTCTGTGCTACAGGCTGTAGGCAACAAGGTGCTGCCTCCTGTCCCCCACCTCCAGAAAACCTTCCCTCAATTCACAGTGGGTGGCAGATGGAAAAATGCCAGTTCCACCCAGTGGAGTCTCTCCTTTGCAGCTACAAAGCCCAGCAAGTGCAGGACCAATTACCTCCTGAGAAGGCACACCACAAAACCTTCCCAGGGAAACAAGGATCTGGTTAACAACGTGTGATCTCACAGAGTAGACAACTGCAGTGACTGAGCACAGCAGGGTGCTTTCACTGATACTCCACCAGCCAAAAGGAAACAGAAAAGCTAGGAACCAACTCAGCATCCCAAGTAAGCTGTAGGATTCAGAGAGTATTTCAATCCCTTCCCTAGCTGGCAAATTCATTTGAAACAACCACAGTAGATGACTAGGGACTGCATCAAGCAGCATTAACAAATGACTCTCTGCCTGCACCACCAAGCTTTGAGAAGTGCTTTTAGGTTGTTGCCTATGTAGATAGGCCATAAGATACGTTGGCCAAGCTGAGATTTCCCAGGATATCTGTAAAAGATTAACCTTAGTACTCACATGCTGATGAAAGCTGATAGAGCTGAAAGACCTGCTTCTGAGCTTGCCTTCCGGAATCATCTCAGTGAGGCTGCCACAGCCCACCCACCAGTGCTTCTGCAGCAGCTGCCTAATCAGCTATACCAACACACTCTGTAACCAGGTGCCTCTTGGAAAAATCACTTCACCTGGTCCTACTGCTGTCATTTTAGAGCCAAGGCCAGAAGCCGCTGCGCTCCTGTTGGCAGCATTAGAAAGCACATGAGTAAGACCTCATGCCTTTCTCTTAGTTAAGAAGGGAAACTAGCCCACTGATACAAGGCTCTCAGTTCTGGAAGGCAGAACTCTTTTGTGAGAGGGGAAGTGTGTGTGGTGTGTGTATAAAAAGTTAGTTTTCTTAGAATGTGCCAGAAAAACGAGAACTTTCACTGGAACAGCTACAAATGGTTTCCATCAACCAACTTTTCACAAAGTTTTTAGATTTTTATAGAACTTTTGCTGCAGATGTGACTTCCAGGAAAGTCCAAACTCTTAAAAGACCTTCTGATCAAGAGGAAAAAGGAAGACACTTCTGCTTACTAGTCTCTTTGTGAGAGTTGAAATATAGCACAATCCCTGAACAGAGACTTTCAAAAGTAAACTTTAGCCAACAACTGATACTATCTGCACCCATGCATAGCAATGAAACAGTAACATTTGAGCCAGACATGTTAAATATTTACTAGTCAAATGTAAAGCCAAGAATTTCCCCAGACTCATCCTCCATTCATTTGTGATCATGTGCCTGAGTCTCTGTCTGGACATGTGACAAAGTGTTACTTTTGCTCTAGGTAAGCCATTAGAAACATCTCATGAAAGGTTAATTTTGAAAAACAATGACTTAGAAAGTGTTACAGTTAAAGTAAACAGTAAAGTTGTTACAGTCATGTGTTTGCAAAATGTGCAACAAAAACTGAGCAATAGAGTCTATGGTTGGTGGAGGTATATGACTTATTACACAGTAAATCATCCAGGATGATTCTCCTCACAGAAGAGAAGCAATAAATAAATAAAATGAAAGCTCAACAACGTTCTCCAAGGGCTTTCTGCGCCACTCATCCCGACAGGTCTTTACTTTTTCCTCTACAGCTATGCCCTAACTTCTACTATCAACCTCCCACTGCATTAAGTGAACAAATTCCATTCTAGACCTGTATTGGTACTTTAGCTCACTCCATAAAATAGACAGATCCACCAAAAAAAAAACAAAAAACAAACCACCAACATCCAGACTTTCATGAACAGGAGTTCAACTTGATTCTTTAGAGCTATGCTCTTAGCTTTACTGCTTATTATAACAAAAGCAGTTTTCACATCAGCTGCATTGTTTGAGTGTCCATAGTGTTCTTCCCAGAAATGTGTTCCTGCAATAATATGATAGTGAAGCCTTAGCTCCTCTATAGACTGCCCTGTAAGCAAGAATCACAAGCTACTTTTAAAAGTAGAGATTTGTTGAGGTTTGGGGTTCTGAGTGCGTGTGGGCAGGTCAATAATAAAAGCAGCGAGAAGTCTTCTGCATCACTATTGACACTGCTCCTCACTTCTTTTCCCTCTTCCAACTTGTGGAGAACACTTCTCCCTCTTTTTATTTATTTATTTATTTATTTATTTATTGGCCTGCATGTAGGCTGAAATATCTTAAACATGAATTCAAAGTTTTTAGAGATCTTTAATGTAAGGAAAAAAAACATTAAATCCATAAACGAGCTTTTCTCCTAGATATGTAGCAATCTTCAAATCCCAAAATGACACCTGGATAAGAGGAAATCACCTACAGTCAAAGTCAGAGAACTTACAACTTTTCTTAAAGCTAGAATTGTGAAGTCTTTCAGAAAACACTGTATGACAGTGAAGAAACAAATATCCTTTCCTTCCATTGTAGGTCATGCTTTAAGGGCTATAAATAACAGATTAACACATAAAACTTATTAAAACCTAACTTGTTATCTAATTAGTTTATAAAAACTATCTTACTAGATTTCTATACAGTACCATCGGATTATTAGAATGCTTTTTCTGCAGACAGAGCTTTACGGAGGACAATCGTCATAAGTTCCTACAGCCATCTGAAGCCAGTAGTCCAGATTTCTAAAAACAACAAAGTTGTACAAGTTCTCTCCTCCTTTGTGAAAACCATGTTCATTTTCTCTCCAGGAAACAGGGCTGTCTGCAAAGCCATGCACAGTTAAGGTCAGCCAGTGTGCCAGTTTTGGTTCACTGAAATAGGAGCTGCAAGGAAGAAAACAAGGTTATCAATAATTATAATGGAATGGACAGCATGGTCAAGTATACAATATAAAGTAAAAAATCAAAGATGCAGGCACTTTAGTGAACATTTGCCATTAGCAATTAACAAAAAAAAAACAAACCCGCTTTATAAAATAATAAGTAAGTTCAAAAAGAAAATATTACATAGGGAGCTTCCAGAATTCACTCTGTAGCACTAATACAGGCAGACATCACATGGATCCATGATACGCTAGTATCATGTAGTTTGGTATTTAACTAGAACCACACCTACCCTGTTCATCCATATTCAATGCCCTACGTTGTTACTACACTTGATTTAAAAAAAAAAAAACAACAAACAAAACTCATTATAAGGTAATTTACTGTAATGCCATAACAACCTTGAAGTAACTTGAAATACTCTTTCCAGTATCATAAAGGGATTTCAATCTTATTTTCCATCAGTAGTTAAAAATGCTAAATCAGGCATATTTGAGAGCACCTGACCTTCATAAGCAGAGAAAATTTGAAAAATGTAGGAGCTCAGTGCAGTCACTGTTTAGAAATTAAGATAGAAAGCACAGTCATTACTAGGATACAGAGCAACCATTCTCAGATTTGTATGTATCAAAAATAATCAAATTTACTGCTTTTTTATACTGACATTAAGCTTCCTGCCCATTTCCTAATTCAAGTCTTCATTTTGCACATTTTATTTACTTCCAGTAGTGCTACTGAAAATAAGTATTTGAAGCTGATTTCAAAAATTAAAAAATTTTAGAGTACACATTTTTTTTGATGTACTGCTGTGAACCCTTACCACAGCTGCTCCAACAACTGAATTATCTTATCAGGAATTATAAAGCCTGTAATTGTGCACAAAAAAGCTTGGTCCGCTGTTGTGTTTGGCTGAGGACAGCAATAGGTTGATATGAAGCTAGAAGATTTGTTGTCTCTGAAAAAAAAAAAAAAAAAAAACCAAACACAAAATAACAGAAATAAGCAAACTTTAAAGTTTCCACAGAAAGACTTAGTAACAAAAATTTGTACCCAACAAGTAGTATCTACATGTATGTATGTCATCTAAATTAACATCCAAGCAACTAATGGCCATGCAACACCCAAGATTCATGGGTACCTCCAAAATCACAAAAGTTACTCAAGAAGTATAACCATTTAAGTGCATAACAACCATCCCACTTGCAGAAATGTGCCTTTCTTAATTCTTACTTAACTCTTCCTTAAAATAAATTGTAGTTTTCCTTATTTAACATGTATTTAAAGATGAAATAAATTCAAGTACTTACAAGTTAACTTGATTCAGGACAGCACCTAGCCATTCAAACAGTTCTTCTGTACTGCAGGACTCTTCTGGCTTTCCTTCTAATTCATTACTTTGCAATGCTGGACACTGCAAGTCTCTTAATGTGCTGAATGTTATTTTTGGCTTCAGGGCTCGTATTTGGTTTTTGGGAAAGTATGACATCAATGTTGATCCCTCTGCACCTTAACAACACAACACCACAAGGAGCGCTTACAAAACTACCAAACAAAAGGAGCACAGAATTCATGAAACATTTGTATGTTTGTATAAGAAAAGGCAGCGTGTGGTGTTAAACTGCAACTGAAGCTTACATGCTGTTATCTTTTGCAAAAGCCATCTTTGGCTTCCATGTCTTCTTGGAAATGAGAATTAGTGCAAGATCCAGCACTTCAGTACAGCTCAGTTAAGTTACTACTTTAACTAGCAAATGAAGAAATAGAACTGCCAATAGAAAACCTGAGCAAAATTAACTGACCAAGTAATTAAATTAACTCAGTAGAAAGAGGAATTCAGAGCATTCCTGAAAAAGAAAGCATGGAAGGAAAGCTACTTGCATGTTATCCGCTCCCCAAGACCTGCAAATACATTCACGCTGTGAATATACCCACACCTATATATCTGAGGCCGAGGAACATTTTGCCTTACAAGTGTCCATACATTCCCTCCCTGCTCACATGCAGGTATCTGCTGCCCTGTAAGAGTGATACATACATTACACCATTAAGTCACCTCCAGGTCAGCATCTCTAGAAATTCCTCAGGCACGAGAGGGAGAATACATATGGTAAATGTACATGAAGATAATGCATCTCAAAACCATTCAACTGGAACTTGGCTCAAATGAACTCAGGCAGCATTTCTTCCACAAGCACAGAGCATCTGGAGGGATCCCTGCGTGTAAGAAAGCATCCCAGAGGCAGCACGGCATCTGGAAGCAAGAGCAGCTCTGATGGGGTGAATTGGGAAGTTCTCAAGAAAACCTTTAAAAAAGCTATAGTATTGTATAAATTCTCCTGGAATATCCCTTTACAACTACAAAAAAATCCCGTTTTCAATGATCTGAACGGCACTTATTCTTCTACCCAGCATGTTATGGTTAAGTAAATCTTACAGTTTTCTCAGCTGAGGACAAGACCATGTAAGAATTATTCCCAGAGGCTTTCACCCATCAGTAAAAACAAGGTATCTGATGTTCTAGGTGTGATGGGAAACCTAATCTATGAGCTGTAAGATTTAGAGAAAAATTCTTGATTTACAACAAATTGAGAATTCATCTTCAGATGCGGTGTATTTGGAAGGTAAACTCATCCCAGAGAAATATCAGAATTAACCATCGAGGTAAGAAGCTCTCCCGCCTACCTGGCTAAGGTGTCTGCCATCCCAATGGCAGACACTGAAAAAGTGGGCAGTTGACTAGTTTAAG